GAATATATTGATTAAGTACCAACATAACACAACAAATGTTTTGGTCGATTCCGTATAAACTATATTTCGAAATATCGAACTATTTATCAAATCGTCTCGTTACATTTTTAAGTTTTGACCTAGTATTCTGTCTTTCAAAACCTTCCAGAATATACATACGAACCACTCAAGTTTTGACAAAGAATATAAAAATGCACATTGATACTCAATCCTAAAGAATTTTACTTAATTACTTTGGCTACTCTGTTTTGTTATCAGTAGTATGATCAGTACTAAAAATAATGTAAGGCGATGCCATTAACAACCCATTTCACTTAGGGTCAAGGTTATGTGACTACTTTGTACTTACATATATTTTATTTACATTCCAATTAAATCAATAATCATTAAGAAAATAGAAACCAACATGATGCATTTAAAATGGTTGTTTCATAATGTGAATCTGAATGAAGTAACGAATGTGATAAGTATATGATTTAAACTTACAGATTTAAAACAAATCCGATTACGGCTAATCCACTAAAACTGTCAATCATTAGGTAATAAGTTTAACACGTTAATCCTTTGTGATGATAGTAAATCACAGCACGAGGTTATTAGGCAGTTTAATGAAATGCGTCGAGCCATTCAGTTTGCATCTGAAGAATAGAGTGATGCTCGAATAGCATTTTTGGACGTTCTCTTAACTAAGAGAACGGATGGATCATTAAAAAGGAACTTAAACAGAAAAAATACCTGGACTGGGCTGTATACGCGTCTCCTTAGCTTTGTACTTCTACAGCACAGACGAAACCTGATCAAAACCTTTAGTTACCAAATACGCAATATATGTTCTACGGATATAGTTAAAGATTAGCTAAACACCTTGCATAATACTCTTAGGGAAAACGGTCACCCTACAAAGTTTATAATTAAATATATGATCATGAAAGTGAGAATAGGAGAAATACGAACGGTGAATAAGAAATCCCTGTTCATGTGCCTACAATTTAGAGGGGGGTGCGGCTAGTGAAATATTAACGGCGAGACTATAATTTATGGACGAACCAACCACGTATAAGGTAACAAGTCTCGGGTTTTGGCGCGAAACTCACCCATTTGGCTAAATAGAGTTTTGGCATTATAAGTGATGTCACTTCGTGATGAAAACTCTAAATCTAATTTCTAACCCTAACCATCAACTGTAAATCACAATTATAATTTCTCACGCTGGTTTGTAACACTCATTTGGTTCTAGTTATTAGGTGAACACTCTCAAGGTTACTTTAGCGTCGCTCAAAGGTCCTCCATAAATTGAAGTCTCACCATGTTAACTCAGAGATTATGCAAGAAAATACAAAAGTCTTTCGATTCCGGAGATCTACGACTGGTGTTTTCTACGCGCCCAATGGTGACACCGAGGCTAGAAGATGAATTACGTAGAATGACCATTTCATTTTGTATTTGTCAGTTAGACTGCTCCTGTGGAGCAAGTTATAATGGTCGAATTCCTAAAAATTTACATTTTCGTGCTCGCGAACACCTCCAAGCGTGGCTAAGCAAAGGTCTGGTGAAGAAAATGAACAGCTCGGTATTGGGCCATTTATTTCAAACTGGTCATCGGTGCCAGTATAAACCAATCCCTTTCAATTATTTACAGGGCTAGTCGTTTTTTGCTAAAGTTGGTCAGACACAAAGTCCTTCAAATGGCTGCAGAAGTAACCATCCAGATGAAGAAACCGGAGCTATGCAGACAAAAGAAATATCTTCAACCACTCTTCCCCTGGTCAACCTCAAGGCAAATTAATCAATACTAATCTTAGATATTGAATGACCTAATTTGACTATTGTACTTACGACTTTTCGTAGTCAGATGTAATTGTCTTTTTTATCTTTATTCACAAACATTATTATTAATCTCCCCAATAAATGATTCATTTATTTCTCATTCATCCCACATTACTAATAATTTTTTTACACAATATAATCTTCCAACAAATATTTGACCGAATTGTAATTGCACTATTATTTCTCTCACTCATATTTATTCTGATCATGGATCTTAAATTTTCACTTAACATATATGCAGATTGAAGTTAACATTCTATATGAGTCATACCAACATTAACAATTTTATTTCCACAGATTGAAATCATGAGTCAGTTGAAGCTGGACCACCATTGAAAACCTGGAAGCACTGGACGGCCGTTTCGTCCTAGTATGGGACTCCTCAGCAGTGAGATATCAGCTCACTGAAGACAACGGTATATGGTGGCGCAACTTCGTGGATTGGTTGAAGTTAGACATTAACACCATTGGATGCCGGCTCAGTGGTCTGATGGTTAAGTGCTCGCGAGCGAAGCCAGTAGGTCCTGGGTTCAAATCGTGCGGGATCGTGGATGTGCACTGCTGAGGAGTCCCATACTAGGACGAAACGGCCGTTCAGTGCTTCCAGGTTTTCATTGACCATTAATAGTCATAATGTAAGGATAGTTTATTAAATTTACTTGTGAGTCAAAGGCCATTCTTACATAGGATAAAACAGTGAATGTTTACTGCTAAGTCATATGATCGATCATTATAATCATTTTCATCATGAAACAGTGATAAGCCAATTGCATAGGGTATTACAAATTGACAGTTAGTACGCGTACTCACATAATGTACATCATATCACAGAGTTGAGGAAATGTCAACAGGTTTGTTCTTCTAGTGTTAATAATATGTTGACTTTGTCTAGTGTTTAAGAGTAGACTATTAATCACTTATTAACGACTGTTATTGTAGAAAGTTAAAAACACTAAGAGGATGAGCCAAATTAATATTCTTATTCATAGGGTCGGAGGTTTTTCGTAGGATGTATGCATAGTTTTATTTACTAAGTATCAGTTGACCACTGAACAACATTGTGTTATGCCGAACTACTAGATTCGGTTACTATCGCTTTCCTAACACCTGACCTCTGAGGAGGAAAAATCTCGAGACTGTTTGTGAAGCTATCTTACTAAAAGACGAATAAAAATGGTTATAACTCATGTACACTTAAAAGCCACCATGAATATGTGAGTGATGAACCTGGTTAAATGTGTAATTTATTTATTCACTAAATCCCACCTAATCAGTATCGCAACTAACTTATGCCCTTCTGACATTTAGCCTGTCCCACACATCCTATTCATTTTGTCGCGGTTTCAGTGTTGCTAAAAGTTGTTAAACTGTTATAGGAAGTCATTTTTAAGTGAATATCTTCAGTTATGATCAAAAGAATAGTTCTTCACCTTCATTTACCACCACAATGATATAAAAACTTTCCATATTCACGTTTCCCAGTAGTGCTAGGACTGCCGTTGTTCGAGAATACAGACTCAAATGCGAATATTTACAGAGTACTTTACTGTATTCACCCTTCTGTAATGAATTCTCATAGACTGTGGTTGGGATATGTATTGCGTATGCCTAACTACTAGCTACCTTAACGAGTTGAGTGGTGTAAGAGGAAGTTGGAAGAAATATAAGGGTCGGGAAACCAGATCCCGACATCAGTTCACGAAATCATTAGTTGTTGAGACTGTATCGATAAATGCAGACTGCCTAGTTGGGGTCCGCATGATTATTGTGTCTGCTAATGATTACGATTCATGTAATAACTTCAGGAATCTTTTTTTTCAAAAATATTGATAGTAAGGGCGTAATTTATCTCGTTGTTGATGTTAGCGGCTGAACTTCAATCAGCCTTTGTCAGCAATATGTATGTACCAAGACGTGATATTATTTATGAAATCAATTAGCGTTCATTTGAACCGTGTCAATAGTGAATGGATACTATCTAGTTAGGGTCCGCACGAATATCGCAAAGTCAATGGTTACATATATTGGGTGAAATGACTCAGAATCAGTCATGGTGGCACAGAAGCATCCACGAACTTCAATATTTCTTCTGATACTCTTTCTACTCCACGAATTCACATTTTTTTCTATAATAATATTATTGATACCTAATTTTTGCTAATACCAGTAATACAGGTACTACTTTTAGTCGAACGTCTCGATGTGCTGATGTGATGTGGGAACTTGAGCTAGGGTCCTAAAATCGGTATGATTGCAAATAACACTAGTACTTGTGTGCGAATGTGCGATCGATCGCTTAATTCCATAATTAAGTGTGATACGTCAAGTAACCGAAAGCTTAGACACCGATTTACTAACTGCTTTCTAGCCCCCAGATATTTTGTATTCTCGAATCTTGAACAAAAAAAGCAAAAGGAAGTGGTAGATGAAACTTTACTTCCAAGGTTGGTTCATGCACAGAAGATCTAGGTAATTATTTAACTAAATGTGACGTTGAGCTTCTGAAAAATACACTAAAATTGGTAACAAGACCGGCGATTACCCGATAGGATAATTACAACACAAACTGTCTTTTCCACAGAATTCTCTTGAAAGTTTCCAAAGAACACTGATTAGTCCGAGTGTTCTCCCATGTTCTGAAAACCTTTTCAAAGAATTATTGAGGTCTCCTAATGAAATGTGGATAACTGATAGCTATTCATAAAAACTGAATTATTGACGCAAAGCTCCCTCAAGGAACGAATATTAAGAAATTGAACTAATTAGTGACTGGTTATTCCTTACTAGTAAAACATTGCACATAAATAAACATGATTAAAAATAAAAACAAATTTAATTGTAAGATATAGTTCTTGTAGGCCACTTGTCAGTAAATGAAATAGAGATCTATCACACTTATTGATCATTATATCAAATAGCGAAATTACGCCGTACCTTTCTAGGTTTTCTGGTTTGTCAAACTCATTGGACGAATTAACTTTACTACGGTTTGTTTTTGACATACCGTTAATTGACGTTCAAAACCTTAGCGAGTACATGTTATTCATGTAAACTGGGATGATTAAATGAAAGGAGATCTGAAAGAAATACATTTGATCCTGATATCCCTGCTAATATCTTAATCTAGGTAATATCCTTAAAGATGTTTGAAGGCGGGCTATCAAATAATGTTACATAGTTTCTCTTAAAAATCCATCAAAACCTTCAAAAAGTCAACAGTTGAAATATGGATGACAGTGTTTCTGTGGGGATGAATCTGGACGGTGTGCAAATGAAAGAGTAAGAGGAAAAAGAAAACTGAAGTAACCACTTCCCTTTGTATGCGGATACATATACACGCTTGATTGTAGGTGTATAGACGAATACAAAGAAATGAAAAGAAATTCAAACATTAATTATTTCCGAGCAATACCATTTATTACTACTATCACAGGACAACAAATAGTAGTATATGTAACTAATAGTGAATAACGATGAAATATAAGAAAAACAATAGAGATAAACGATATTTTAAGTGAAATAAAGATTTGAATTCATCTTTTCCTTCTGGCAAAATAGTTGTATAGTAGGTTTACTAACGTCTTTATACTTAGAAAATGAATTTTTGCATACTTTTTGTTTTTAGTGTAAAATAAACTGTGTGTGTGTGGACAGGTGATGTGGGTGGTGCCGTTGAGCTGACTGCAACCAAAATACAATGACAATAAAATAAGTGATTGTTTAGTGAAGGATTTTCTATCAAAGTATGAGAAATTCTTATGCAACAAAATCTGTGTGTTGAATAATGCAGTAGATAGTTAAATCTGTCGTATAAAACAATAATCCTATTATCATCATTGTACATTCATTCGTGCAAAAGAATATGCTTCAACGGATATGACAAAACATAATTGAATAGACCACACAATGACTATTATCTTTCGAAAGTAAGTTATAATAATGAAAATAATAATAGTAATGGTAATAGTATTATTGATAGTAATAATAATAACAATAATAATAATATAAACTGAGCTACTGGATTCATCACAACTCAACATAACGTGATGCCCCCATTCCTTCGAACCATGCATCTTTGTTTATTATAATAATATTACTATAATCACATTATTAATTAATAAGGCAGTTCGAATTTCACATTTATAGCAGCTTCACGAGCCAAATGAACAATATTAGCGAGTTTAACAGACTGAGAAATTAAAAAAAATAAAAAATAAAGGCAATAAGCGAAGTTACATAACACAATAATAGTTTATTTCTCCGAAAAAAAACGTGAGGGTAAACAATGTGATGGTAATTTGAATTCTAAACAAATAAATTGCTAATATTTACAGGTTATATTCATGAGATTGTAATAATAATGATGGTTCTCTGAAACGATGGAGTACATAGTGCTAATTAATTTGGATAGTTAAAGTTGGACTATCAGTGAATCGTTCTATGAATGTAAAAAGGTGGCTTGGTAGTCTGGGGTATTCTCGACTTTTAGTCAACAAGATCACAGGTTTAAATCCCGTCATGATGTACTTTGTCGTTTTCAGTGGTTGAGAGGTAGTGTATCATTAACTCTTAAAATAACTAGATTATGACACAAAGTCCCGTCTACATAAGCTAATGTACTTGGCAAACAAAATGACACTATTCTATAAGGACTTAAGCAAACTTCCAATTCACTGCACGATATTAGGTGTAAACATTAACTGTCAAATATGGGCGAACAAATGAGGGATGGGATAACATAAACAAATTGAAATTGATGTCTATGTAAATAAAAAAGATTATACATTATTTATCGATTTGGTACTGAAACAAAGATAAAGTCATCTCAAGATTAGACCTGAGTCAAAGTGATGGGTATCTGAAAAGTAAAACTTGATTGGTCACCTGTTTTAGTTATTGGGCATAATAAACAATCCAATCTGAATTGAAGAAAAGACTGTTAAGTACTCAAAAATGAATGACTTTCACTTTACATGACGTAAGACTAGTAGTAGAAATACCTTTATGTAGAGTTTAGAACGTTAAAAGTGATAACGAAAACTTAAGTATTTCCACCATAAGATAGAAATAATAGTGTTAAACGTATCAGGTGCTCAATCTTTCTTATGTAGAATGCATGTAAGTAAACTGTTCCGAAATTTTGACCCTAAACCTTTAATCTTAGCTTTAAGCCGAAATGATCTGGAGATTCATGAAAATCTTCTTGACTCCTTATAACAGTTCGCTAAGACGGATGTTCCATATGCATTTGGTCCATTTTATATGAAGTCGTTTTCTCGGGTTACAGACGGAAAAACCTTTATATAATCTTAAACCATTAATGAATTATGTGAAATCTGTCTACACCATGAGATATTATTGTTTTTTCTTCTCTGCAAAAGTTATTTCTTTGTAAAGGCTTTTTTCTGATTGGCTTAAACGGGCGCTTATTTTAAATTCATCCATATACTTTACTATTACTAGATTTATCCTTCAAAATATAAAATGCCTGATCAAAATAAACCTTTTTTGGATAATGCTTAGGATACCTAAAATTTTTAGGAAGAATTTTTTTTGTTATATTATAGAATAAAACAAAAAGTGGCAATGTTAAATATGCCAACTGTTTATTTTCTTTTCTATTTGAATTTAATATAACATGTGAATCAATCGGTGTTGATCTTAATTCAATTTGTTTTTTGGTAAACTGAAGACAACGTTTTATCAGTAGTGACACATTGAATAATCGAGAACGATTCCTACGCATAACTTCATCTTATCAATACTTGTGTAATAACGCTAGTTCTTTTTGGTGAAGTTTTGTTCTCTAAGCTATATGGTTTGGTTGTGGAGCTTTCATCGTTCTTCTGAACGACATAATCAGCACAAACCTCAAGTACAAGTGATGTGTTCGAATTTCTCTGCATATGACTCGCAGCTTGTCCTGTAGATCTCGATCTTGATTGGTGATTGTTGACCATTAACCTGTCATTGTTTACTCCGTTATTTTGATTGTACCTACCATTCGAACACATCACTTCTATTTAGAGTGGCGAGTATCCAATTTATGGATGAGCCAATCAGAATCGCCTGAGAGATTTCAAGGTCACGGTGTCAACTTCAGTGCTTAATGCTAACGCACGATCGATTCACAGGGTATTTTGTACAAAACGTGATAATTTAGCGGCTATAACAAATAAAACGGCGAGAATATAATTTGTAGACGAATCAATCAGATATAAGATAACAGCCTTTCATCCATTTTGGCTAAATAGAGTTTTGGCGTTATAGCTGATGTCAGTTCGTGATGAAAACCACATATACAATTCTTAACTAAGGCAAATTATGACAATTATTGAGAACTGGATAACAGAAGCACCAGTAACACTAGCTTCAGCGAGGTACTGCAATATATGCGGATGAGGGGAGAGCGTATAGACTCCTACATAGACTTGGTGATATGCATCGTGTCGTTATCCATAAGTGACATTTTTGGGACTAACATCGGAGTGCACACAAACAATATTGAAGCTATGCGGTCGAGGCTCAAAGAGTTTTTACGACCTTATCATGGCTCCAGAGGCCGACTATTCTGTAGCTATATTGATGATTTCCTCTAATGCATGCATTAAGATTTTAGAACCTCTGAACCTCTTTCTAACCTTGACAAGTTTTTGAAGCACGTATAAGAAGTGTATCCACTTTATTTCTTTGGTTTTGTATAATATATTTTAACTCTATAATGACTGTTTGCTGATTGGCTGGTATTTCTCAAGGTCTATTAAGATTCGCTCAAAGGTCGTCCATAAATTATAGTCTCGCCCAAACCAGCACCACGATCATCCATTTGAGCTGCAAATCTTCTCCACACTAGTTTTTCGCTTATCATTTCATTTTTATAATTTTTCAGCGAATGTATGAACAAAGAATTCAAAAGATGAGATGATAAATTTTGAAATTAAAACTATTTATGACTTATGAGAAAGATTTAGAAAGAAACACTTAGTGTGTGTGTGTGTGTGGATAAATTCGAACCACATACACAGATTAATGAGGTTACTTAGAGAGATAAGAACAATAACGGGGTAGATTTGCATACATATAGCATACAATTCTCTTCGAACCTAGCACACAACAATAGTATCATGCACTGTCCCATCGCCTTTGGCAGATCAGGAAACCCGAAAGTTACGATAACACCATGAGGGCATACGACAGGCTAGGTACGTAGAGAGAGATATTTCTATAAAATTAAGATTTAGAAAACTAGTAGTACACTTTTGCATAATCATAAACTTTCTACTTATTGACTGAGATGAAGAGTTTCCAATTTATGTGAACATTTTTTAGGAGAACAAACTAATCAACCAGTTCATCCCAAACACTATACTTTTATTCAACTAACAGTAGAAATACCAGTTATGTATGAATAATAATAATAATAATAATAATAATAATAATAATAATAATAATAAGGAAAACACAACGAAATTCTGAAATGAAACATACCATTTGAGCAGCTTCATCTAAATCACTACAACCTAGAATTTTCATATGACTTGTAGCAAGAATTGCTTTAGCGTCTTCAACTCTAGTTCCTGAGTATTTATTGATGTTATTAATAGTGATTGGTTTTTGTTTGTTTGTTAGTTTTGTGGGAAAATATATTGTGAAAATGGAAAGAAAACAATAATAATATAAGTAGTACTAATTAAAATGTATTAAGGGATATTTTTTTGCAAAATGATTACTTCTATTTGATAAAAAAATAACTCGAGATGATTAGCATAATGCATACGTACATAGAAATCATGTGCTCACTAGTTATTGATTTCAAAAGGTGATTATTCCTTGAGTTCTAGTAAGAAACTATAACTGATGAAGTTCAATTATATTGGATGATAAGCCAATCATCCAATATCAATGACGATTGAAAAATGGTTGTAAAATATTGTGAATTGATTAAAGATAGATATAGAAACACTATTAGATACCGGTTAATTAATCTAAACGTTAAACGATTACTTTGAGACTTGAAAGTCTTTCATTCGATCCGTAGTGGATGTGCATTGCAAATGAAGAGTTCAAACTAGGATGAAACAGTTGTTTAGTGTTTCATGAGTATTAACGGTTGTTCGATTAAAATGAGTCAGTGAAATCTGACAATTTTCACAAACCGTTTTTAAACTAATCACACAAAAACATTTTTACAAAAAGTTGCCTAGTAAAACAATATCAAGATACCATTAATTTTATTATTCATTTTGGTGGAGTTTAATTCTCTGAGCTGGATGGTTTGGTTGTGGAGCTTTTCATTGTTTTTCTGAACGACATCAACAGTACAAACTTCAAGTAGAAATGGAATTTTCGAATTTCTTCACATATCACTCCCAGCTTGTCCTGCAGACCTCGATTGTGATTGTTTATTGTTGAACTTTAACCTGTCATTATTTACTCTCTTATTATTGATTGTGTTTCCTTTTGATCTGATTCTTGGTTCTATGTTTATCCATGATGAGAAAAGTTTGAGCTGATGATGCTGTTTATAAGAACAATGGAAGCTCCACGACCAAACCATCCAGTTCAGAGAACAAAACTCCAATAAAATCATCCACCTGAGCTACAAATCTTTTCTACCATCAGTCATTCATTATACTATGACTATGTTTTATTAAACTGTCTTGAAATTATAAAAGATTATATTTCTTGTTAAGAATAACAACATTTGTATACGGTATTCTATGTAGAATTAATGCATAAAAAATGTGTAGAGTACATAAATGATACATGGTGAAATTAGGTGAATATAAATATATGCACCTAAATGTAGAGAAAACAAACTGAGTACTAATTAAAAATCAAATACACCTTAGTGACCAAGTATATATTTTTGTGCATTCGGGGTATGAAAGAACATATTTATTTTTACTTCTTTAACAATGGTTGGTGGAAATTTTGAGTGATATCAATTGAAATCAGTCATAATGACGCAGATGCCTTCATTCTTTGTTTTAACTAAGATCTTGAGATTTTAGAAAATAATCATGCACTTTATTATTCCTAGAACTTATTTTTTCCTCTTCGATTATATTGCATATGCCTAAATTCTTTTTAATTATCCACCACCTCCACAAATCTGGAAATCTTACTGTACTATTATGGTATTACAATTTGAACTGATATACATCTCTCTCAAGTTTTGTGTTGCTTATGGCTGACTGAGTACTATCCAGTTAATCACATAAAAATAGTAGACGGAAAGAATTTAGCACATACAACCAATGAAATGGGTTGAGAGATGAGTGTTTTAATCAAGACGAACCACTGCAACTTTATATTACAATACAGCAAAATGATAAATATTGAGATCTTGAACCGATCAATGTTGCACTACCACTGAAAACCTCGAAGCACTGGACGGCCGTTTCATCATAGTATGTGACTCCTCAGCAGTGCGCATTCACGATTGCGCACGCGGGACTCAAACCCAGAAACCTCTGGTTCACCAACTAACTGATGATTTTATGATGAAAAACAAACTTGGAAAATTTGCGCGAAATCGTCTCATCTTCAGAATATATGGTATGTCAGTAATAATAATAATAAATCACTAACCTTGAAGTCGTACAACAATTGGTACTTTTATGTTTAATTCTGTAGCAGCTGTTACAATACCTTGTGCAATCACATCACAACGCATAATGCCACCGAAAATATTTACTAGTATAGCATTGACCTTCGAATCAGATACGATTAAACGAAAAGCTTCAGTCACTTGAGCAGCTGTCGCTCCACCGCCAATATCAAGGAAATTCGCTGGATTACCACCATGCAATTGAATTAAATCCATAGTAGCCATAGCTAAACCGGCTCCGTTAACTGAAAAGATTTATTGGAGTATCAAAATGAAAATCTAATCAAAACGATGGTACAATCACGATATATATATATATCGAATCAAAAAGGAAATAATAAAATTGCTTGAAGTTTTGGGTCTCAATAACTGATAGATTCGTCAATGCGCACTACAAAGAGATACCACATACTAAGACGAACCACCTGACTGTACAGTGTTACCATCTTGTTTTCTATGGTTGTCTAAGGTCGGTGCATGATATAAGCTACCAATTTGGATAATCTCCACATAACTCCCTATTCACTGACAACAATTATATACTCACATTAGTGACTACTTTCAAAAGGTAATTCAGTGACTAGAGGAATTCAGCCCTGTCGGATGTGTGAGAGTGTACTAACAAACAGCACTGGGTAATGGATGAGTAATATTGTGAATTGACTCGAGTTACAAATATAAATCATTGGATGTTACCAGTTTAGTGATCCGAAAGAAAAGAGACAACCGCAAGGACTGAACAAACTGGGTTTAACACCGAGGAGTCGCCGAAGTGCATTATTGATGAGTGCTATATTAAGATGGGATAATTAGCCGGTCAAGGTTATCTAGTTTCCAAATGCTTATATACAGTTAAAGTCCATCAATGATGTGAAATAATGAAAACTAACGATTTGTTAGAATTCAGAAGAAAAATAGGTTAAATTTAGGGTGATATCGATTTGTTTCATTTAGAAAAAGAATCTAGACACGTGACGACGACCTTGGTATAAAATAAAAAAAATCGAAGGATACGTACAAAAAAACAAAAGATCTATAAATATGGATTGTGGTGTATTTTAATTCATTTAGCGAACAGTTTCTTATGTTGTATCGATGTTTTGAGCTTACGACGTGATATTACAATAGACATTCATTCGTTATTGGATCATCATTATCCCTTGAAACTCAACTCATTTGATATAATTTATAATGCTATCATAAAATTTACTGGGATTTCTACCGTCATTCGTAGTATGTAGAAGAAAGTGTCCAGTATATATATATTCACAAAACCGAAGTAGGTAGGACTATGTTCGCACTTTAAACTTAGTAGCCGAAAGTCAAATGCCTTAACCAATAAATCGCTGCTCCACAGACTTACTATTCAGTGTTGTCAACCGCATCTGTGTCAGGTTATGTTGACGATGACCAACCGATTATCTTCTGATCAGGCATTCTTCAGAACTATAGTCACGATTTTTTATAGAATAGATGGATTGTGGTCAGTAGTGAAGTCTAAGATGAGCATTTCGTCCTACGTAAGAATCGTCGGTTAGATGTACCTTTTACATCCCAGAGTTGATACTGTAAAGCCAGTGAAATATCACTCAGCCCTAGCTAAATCATTCGGCAGTTGGGTCACTGAATATCAAAAAAATCAACTCTCGACAAGGACAACAAACGCGCATCAGTTGATCGTATGCCATGGACTGGCGCATGCGGTGGTGGTCTCGTTATCTTTTCTGTACTCATTCTTACCAATACAATTGCATAATAATGTTCTTTGTGTTATACGGTATTCAAAGCAGCCATAGTACCTTGACACTTCGAAGGGGGTAATCCACGTTAGATGCTGACCGTGAGGTGTGACTTCGAAGTTAGCTGGTTCGTCACACTATTCCCGTCTAACTCGAGTAGACCTCTAGTCATTCGACATAGATAATCTACACTGGTGATCTACAATACTTTATATTGAAACTCGAACCCAGTACACCTTTCATTTCAAACGCTCATTGCGCTATCCACTGAACTACTAAGTCCGCATAACCATTCACTTGTGAGCAAAATTTAATCAAAAATATCGACAGCGGGATAATCCGACTATTTTTTAAATAATGATAAATATGTTTGGAATATTTATTTTTCTTCATCATCAATTATTTCAAATTTCTTTCTATTCATCTCGTTAAGCTAATGTGGTATGAATACTTGGTCTAATCCATATTTGTTCCACGCGTTCCGCATTGATTATGATTGACTGAATAGGTTTCAACAGTCATAATAATAATAATAATAATAATAATAATAATAATAATAATAATAATAATAATAATAATCGACTGATTTACACAGCTCTAAACAATGTTGACATCAGCTTGTTAATTGTGCCCAATAATTGAAAATTTAGCCAACCAAAATTGTACTTTGAATATTTACTCGGTCTAACTTTGATATGAGTCTGCTTTTTTATTTTTCTATTAATCCATGAACGATGGTAATCAACTAAATTTTCACTTATTATTGTTCAGTGTATGTGTAATTGTAATTATTTCCTAATATTTTTGTCGTAATTCCAATTATTTATTATGTAAAAGTAATTAAACCACTAAAAGGTCAAGTTAAGTATTGATTTTAGTAATAATAATTTTGTATAGACTGTATAACTTAACAATACTAATAGGAGTATGAGGGTGGTGGGTACCACTTCCCGGTTGGTCACATATACCATGGAAAGATGTTTATTCTTGGGGTATCTGAAAATAAAACTGGGTTAGGGGTAATCTTGACAATCTGAGAAAATGGTTATAAAGCCCAATAAATAACTGCTTGAGGTCGACCGAATATGGACTTTTTTCGAATAGTAATAAATGCGTTGGCTTCGTAATTTTAAGGCTTTATCGTTAGCGAAAAGAATCCATGGGGCGAGTTAAAGTGTGATTTTTTAATGCCTAACTTTTCTTTTTCAATCTTATGGAATCCTCTAACCAACTTATCTGATATGGTAGGATCTAAAGGAAGGAATATCTCGCCTAATATAGTTTAATCAAGTCATCATGATATGCAAAACCGAGCATTCAGTCAGTAACAACGTGGAACTTCGTACGTACGTACATCAGTTCGAGTTGCCACACCACATTAGCACAGAGATGCAGTTGTCGATTCAAATCCCGTAGTGGTAGAGGTAGTAAGAGTATGAGCAGTAATCGGGAAGATTAGTGTTTGGAGATGTTATTTAAAGAGTATAATCCAGTGAAATAAATTTGGGAAGAGAAAAAAAGAGACAAAGAGGAATCAGGAGATTTAAAATTTGGAAGAACACAAAGAGTGTATGCACCTGCGCCATCGCAACCGATTTTGAGCCATGTCATTCAGGGTCTCTAACCATCGGTTGCTATCATCTCGCTGTCCCCTAACCAGGTAGTATACACCTACCAACATGACTCAGACCACTTGTCAGCGACTTCATGGACTTGTGCCATGTTTTAGTCTGGCCGCCCCTAGCTTTCTTCCAACCTACTCCTATACCACTGAACATCGCACGTCGAGGCAGTCAGTCGTTGGGCATACGTAACACGTGTCCCAGCCATCTTAACTGATGAAGGCTCATCACTTCATCAATCGATTTGCCATCCTTACCTAGCACCTGTCTCCAAACAACTACATTACTTACTCGATGGTACCAGGATATACGAGCAATATTTCGAAGACACCTATGATCAAATACTAGTAACCTACGCATATCCTCTACTCTTACCGATCACGTTTTGCTGCCATAAAGTAGGAAGGAATGAACTGCTGCGCAGTAAACACGTCCTTTGGTTGATAGACGGATATCTCGCCTACGCAATAAATGACGCAAATTAGCAAAAGCTAGTTGGGCCTTCTGTATCCGTGCTGAGATTTCGTCACACACCAGACCACAGGGGCTGATGAGACTTCCAAGATAAGTGGAGCGGTCGACACGCTCAATTACTTCACTCCCTATCACTAGTTCGGGTGTCAATGCAACCCAATCCTGAAGCGACATTTTGCATTTCGAGGGAGAGAATCGCATCCCGAACATGCTTGCATTGTTGCTTAGAGTGGTCAGAAGACTCTGCATTTTGTCAGCGTCTTCGCCAAAATAAAACGATGTCATCAGCATATTCTAAGTCAACAAGTGAACCTCCCGGTAGAATTTCAACCCCTGGAAATCTAGACGAGGAAAGTGTTATCTCTAAAAGTACGTCGACGACAAAGTTGAACAAGAAGGGAGAGAGTGAACAGCCCTGACGAACACCACTTGAGGTAATCAATTCTGATGACAGTTCACCATAAGCTCTCACTCTACCAGTTGTGTTCGAGTAGAGAGCCTGAGTAAGGTTAATGTACTTCTTTGGTACTCCTTTCAATGACAAACACTGCCATAGAACCTTACGATCAACAGAGTCGAATGCCGCCTTAAGGTCGAGAAATACTACCATTGTGGGGTATCTGAATGTGTGTCTGTGTTCTAGAACCTGACGTAGTGTGAATATCTGATCTATACAACCACGTCCAGGTCGAAAACCAGCCTGATTTTCTCTAGTCTGTTCTTCACGAGCTTTGGTTAGACGTCGAAGTATTATTGAAGCTAATATTTTAGACACTATATTTGTCAAACTGATTCCTCTGTGATTGTCACAAGAGGACTTTTATCCTTTCTTATAGACTGGCACAATCAGTGATTGAGACCAGTCAGATAGGATTGCGTCCAGTTCTCAAATTCTACCTAAGACCTCAGTTAATCTCACTGCTAATACTGGACTACCATCCTTAAAAATTTCAGGAGTGAACCTGTCAGGGCCCACTGCTCTCCCTCGCTTCAGAGTTCCGATAGCTTTTTCAACTTCATAAAGAGTCGGAGGACCTAAATTAACCAAACATTACATTATGACAATAGCTAAGATCATACATAACAACACTTCAATAAGTGAAATGTAGGTAAAACAAATATCTATCATGATTATTATCACAGCTTACCTAAACAACCAATATTTCCATCTAAACCAATATAATTTAATCCAGCCTTTGATGCTTTCACATCACGTTCATCTTCTTGTGACCAATCACGTTGTGCAAAAATCTCTTTCTGTCGAAATGCAGCATTATCATCGAAATTCATTTTACAATCCATACAAACAACTAGTTCAAACATAGAAATAAAAGGAAAAAAATACAGATGCGAGAAAAGAAGAATTATTGGCATAACCGTCGTCTTTTTCACGTACATACACTTTTTAAATTCAGTTTTAAGTATATTCATATGTTAATACGAAAAAAAATTTGCATTTAAACGTTGATTTCTCATATTCTCCTCTTAGCATTCAAAGACGTGAGATTAGCTGAGAGCATAGAATATATTTTGAATAGTGAATGGGAGAGAAATTTAGGAAAGGTGTCTTATTCTATTTGATGCTCATCAGCTGATTGGCTTTGATATTAATATTGATGTTCAACTTAAGTTTAGAGAACCGTCAATAGTATGGTCTATATCCAAGTTCAAATACCAAGAGATTGATCAAAAATTGGGACATTCACTAAGTATGATCACCTCCTTCTACATAGTAAACCCGATTCTAATAATTATTTCTCAGCGAACTAACTCACCGTCTTTTAAGTTGGACGTATACAAATTCGTTAAGGATTCACACAAGGTCATCATCATGACTGATTGACGTTAGACTTGTAAACCACTGGATCCCGGCCCAGTGATCTAGAGGTTAATAGTTCATGAGATCGAAGGTTCTGGGTTCGATTCAAGATTGCGAGTTTGTGAATATACACTGTTGGAGGTCCCATACTAGGACGAAATGGCCGTCCAGTGATTTCAGCTTCCCAACAGTTGTTGAACGCAGATCGCCTCATGATTTCAATAAAATAACAGACCAGTAAAAACTCGAAAAAAACAGCACGAGAAAGTAGAGAGAGGAGGGAGGAAAGTGACAAAACAATACTCAAATCAAGTAAGAAAATTTTTAACAACACATACCTTTTCCATTTATATCTTGAGAAATTGGATTAATTTCTAACAGTGTACAATCGGATGACTCAAAGAGTTTATAAAGTCGTTCAATATATATAGCTGCTTCATCTGGATGTGTAAAACCTAATTTATGCGCCATAAATAGGGCATCTTTTTTATTTAAACCTTTGTTGATATCAACTGGAATCTAAAAGGTGTACAATAATTTTTTTAAAAGAATAGTAATTGAACACTGGTTAAAATGTTTCCTGGAGATATTTGTTACAAATAAAAAGTTGCAGAACTATTGGAAACGATGATGAATTGTTTAATGATAATGAGTTTGTGACTATTTTACAGTATTGTCCAATAACGATTTCATACAATGCACTCACTCTGAAGTTCTGCAATACGTGAGCAATGCTTTAAAGATATATCTAGGATTTAATGTATGCAGTCAATGCATTTTTTCTACTTTCATAAACTATATTTTATAGTCACACGATGATATATATTTGATTGCTAAAGAGTACGTTCGATCCTTGGTTAACGGACAGACATTTCGCCTGCACTACAAGCAGCATCAAGGGAGACTTAGGGATCGGTAGCAATATTTTGCTAGCCATCAACCTTACGAAGAATGACGGAACTCCCATGAGAAACGCGATGAACAACACACTTGATTAGTTCACGACATATACATATTTATTTATTTAAACACATAAACATTAGTACAAGGAGACACAAAACAGATATGCGCCACGTAAATCATTCGAGAACTGGGATACTACCCGGGTGCCCAAACCGAAGCAAGTAGTTTTCTTACGGGGCCACAACCTGAGCCTTTGACCTAAAGGTCTGATCCACAAGGCAGTGGAGCAACATAAGGAGACGCAGTCCCATGGTAACCGATGGTCAACAATTAGTTCATAAAACATTTGTTCCCTCAGGATTCTGGAGTCCATGTATACCATTGGTTTGGAATCAGGGTTTTTCAACTCCCCTAGGTGTATTCTCCATATCCACCAACCCATTTAAAGCGCCGGATATTCGTTTTTCATCTTCTCAATTTCGTAAACAACACCCCCTCCACGAGAAAGCAGTGAGTAGGACTTCCCTGGCAGTGGTTGTATACGCGTGGATGTGTGAGAGCATTTCGAGAAGGAGAGCTGGCTCTCTCCACCGTCGGCCGTACCAGGGCATTTAGGGGAAAAGCGGTTTACATCGGCCGGGAATTGAACCCGGACCGTCCGCGTGGCAGGTGCGGATTCTACTATTGAACCACCGACCCGTTGGAGCATAAATATACAATTCACAGAAGAAAATTAATTTATTTAGAAGGTAAGTGGATGCAATGACGAGTCAAGAGAACACGGCTATATAATTGATCATACTAAAGTACAGTTATCACAGGGATGTTACGTTGATGAATGTGTTTCGTTCTTGTATATGTAACTGAAGTTTATATGATTTAATTGGAATAGATCCATCAGATTGAAGAAAGAAAGCGAATTGCTTTATCTGTTGATAATGGACAGAAAGTAGTAACAGAAATGTGCACTTTGTTCTAAACCTGTTACAAAGTATGTGTGTGTCTGTGTTTACACTTATAACAAATAACTTGGAATTCAGTAGATTCATCGTGTACATGCGTGTGTGTGCATTATTAAATTTTATTTATTTACTTTTGACAATAGTCATCATGAATTGACTTCAGTTAAAGAAGTGTTAGAAAAACCATGAAACACTGGATAACTGTATTATCTAATATTTTAGGACTACTATTACTACTACTGCTACCACTACTCATCAGTGTACACATTCCTATGACTTTCGACTGAATTGAGTTCATGTTGAAATTTATGAAACATGCATAATATTGATAGTAGATAATAAACTAAGTCATTTATCAAGTACTTAGATATGAGCTTCATTCCAAGTGTGAGAGCTAATGATACCACCCGATCGGTCACACCGAAATAGGTAAGGGGGACGTTCTAGCCTAGGATCGAATGAATTAACCACTAAGCCATTGTATAGTGTTATTGAGTTACAGTTTGAGATGAAAATTATATTAAACTAGGTTATTTTCAATTAGATACCTAGTAAAATCATGGTTACTTAAACTTAGAAATAATATCATTTTGAAATTCTACGCAAATTGTTACTTGTAATATTTTGATGTTAAGTGGTTGGAAGCGATCAACAAGCAGTTTTTAATTAGTCAAAGTCAACAGATACAGTGTCCAATAACTGTAGTTTAGCTCAAAGTGTCATATTATATAACCACGATGAGATTAAATTAATAAGATGAATAACAAAGGAGTTGAATTGTGTTACCAGTGGTAATAGGAAAGACTAAACCTTGAGAATAAGGTAAGACAGGACGAAATAGAAAGGTATGTATGAAGAAATACTGCAACTCGACATCCATAGGAAAACGAAGAGTAAATGAACTTTAGCCAATGTAATCGATTTTGACCCATGTCACCCAACATCAACCACTGGTCATTGTTATCATAACTACTGCAACCGGGAAGTTCGGATCTAGAAACATGGGTTACACCAATAGTGAATGAATTCATGAACTAATACCACATTTTAATTTGTCCGCCTTTAGCTTCTTTTCAACTTACTTATACTCAACCTAAAATTGCATGTTAGGATAGGCGGTGGTTAGGGGTACGTAACTCGTCCCAAACATCTCAGATGCCGAAGCTCTACAGTCGTATTTACCGATTTCCAATTTCTTTCCAGAAACCTATGTCACTATTTAGACTATTAAACGGACAACTGTGCTATCCACACTACTCAGTATCACAGTCAGAAACATCACCACAACTGGGTAATCCAAGTTATGAATGGCCTCTTGTAGGACTGAGATTTTTATACTCACCGACTGCTAAGTAGTAACACTAATGTCATATTTATCTAATCCTTGGCGCCAACTAAAATTTGTTATTTACCTATAAAATTAATAGTTATAGTTGAAAATCAACCAGTCATTAGGTCTATATGTTTGCCAAGAGCAATTACAGAAGGGATATATTATAACTAATAGTAGAATTCGAGATGAGTGTTTAACCCTACTTGGGACTTATCAGTAGGATGTACCTGGCACATCCCAGTGTTGGTATCTACATTTGAACTCGGGCCAACGTGTTTTTCACTTCAAACACTCATCTCGTTATCCATTGAGCTTTTGAATACAGATATCCGCTAAATTGTTCAACAATTATGATATTTACATCATTACTAGTAAGAATTTGAATTATTTATTATTCACATTCAACATTTACATAATCAAAGTACAAACCATAAAAATGTCTACTGATTTACTTTAATTAAAGCATCTGGGTTATCACGTGCTATATCTTCAATATTTACACCACCCTGTTGACAACCAATCATTACTGGTCCACCACTAGAACGATCTAGGACAATAGCTAGATAATGTTCACGTCGAGAATATTTACGTTCACATGCTAATAATGTATTGCATAATTGGCCGGTGTCACCAGTTTGTGCAGTGTAGATTCGATGACCAAGCATGTGGTTAGCAACATTTACGGCTTCTTCTACACTGAAATCGAAAAGAAAATAAACAAGTTGAAATTGAAACTTGACTACCTATTACATGCAACAATATAACTGAATAATTAAGTTCATTTCGTGATAAGAGATGATTAAAAGTAAAAACTAATAATTAATTCAATAAAGTAATTTTTTTATTTTAACGTTCTACCAACTCATCTATAAACTAGTTATATATAAGATTCTATTGTATAATCTGAGAATTATTTCATTCAGTTTTAATATTTATTAAGTGAGAAATTCGTTGTGGGTTATAAGTATTGAAACATAATTCTTAATCATTGAAAAGGAAATCTGTACATGAATAATGCTATTTTCTCATCAAAGATATATATTCTTCGCAAACTGCTTTTGTCTTCTCAATAGTCAGTGATTGGGGCAAATCGTTGACAAATAATTACTTTGTATTCACTCAAGGTGGTCACATTTGGGTTTTACTAAGTTTTTTGGCACTATTTCTTTGGTATTTTCGAATTGCATAGAAAAAATTAGGTTATAATATTTCGACAATAAACTTTAAGACTATTAAGCTAACTAATTTTCATCACAGATACGACAAACATATATAAGCAGAAAATTAGCTTCGGGACGCATTTGTTTTATCAAGGTTAGGGATATTATCTAACTGTTCAGTTTTAAGTAGGTGGAATGGGGCTCGAACCTGTGAAATCCGTATCGATTATCAAAGGTGCTATGACTTTATGTCCGGGTAGTTAACACGTGACTTACCCACCAATCAAAATACGACTTATACGGTCTTTATACTGTGCCAAACCAATGACGTTCGATCCGTATGAGCAGCCTAGTGTCCTTATTAGTCCTATGTTCGCCTAGCCCATCCACTTGAGTCCAGAACACCAATACCAGCTTCCACTATGCGAATCGAATCGAATCCTTTATTTCAGACATACTAGGTTTATATATCAACCAGACAGACCGCAACTCACCATAAAATAGGAAGTAACATTCATACACAATAAAGCCAGAAAGTAGCTCTGAACGTGAGAAGCAGTAGTCAATAAACTGAACACAGCTTAAGAACAGTAAATCGTACAATAATAAGTTATAGGTCAAAATAAAGCTTATAATAAGAGGAATATAAATATACATAATCTAATTATTGAATAGTTATACCATAAGAATATATAGACAATATTAGTCAATTAATATGTCTCAGAAGTTACTCGTGATCTAATCTTCGCTCGGATATAACAAAAGGGTTGATAAGAACTAAAGGAAAGGTCATAGCACTGTTCTAAAGGCAGAATCTAAAGCTCTGTGTATAAATTCTTAAATTTATAGAAACTTTGACCACTATAAAACCCAAAAATAATTTAGTCTAACTTTGATTTTACCCTGGTAATCCTTTAATCCATTTTACACCATGAAGTGGTGCGGAAAACTATTTTTTCCATTTTCCATTAATTTTCCTTTTCCTTTATCACTTCATGTTAATTAGGCCTTTTGTTGAATTAAACTTTATTAGTTTCCATAAATCCCATGTTAGATTTATGTACGACCAAATTACTTGAAGTATATAGAGTAAATGTATCAAACGTTTCGTCAGTCAGTCAGTTACTACGTAGGACTAGGAACATATATGCATCGATCCAAGTTGCCACACCTCATTAGCACAACAAAATGAACACCGCATTCAGAGAGAAGTAGTTGATTCAATGGTGGTAATATATATATAAAAAATTGCATATAAGGATATAGTACAGGAAGAATCAGTTGGTAGAAAGAAAGATATAAAGCAATTTTAATCTCATAGTTTAAAGGAAGATAGAGTGTGTACACCTATGCCATGATGATCGGTTATGAGCCATGTCACCAAGAGTCTCCAACCATTGGTTACGATAGTCACGCGGACCCCGACCGAGTAGTCTGCATCTACCAATATGGCTCAAACCAGAAGTTAGTGACTTCAAGGACTAATGCCACGCATTGGTTTGGCCGCCTCTAACTTTCTTCCAACCATCCCCAACACTAGTCAGCATTGTGCATCTTGGTAATCGGTGTTCAGGCATATGTAACACGTGGCCCAACCATCTCAGTTGATGAAGATTCACAACCTCATCAACTGATTTACCATCATTCCCTAATACCCTGAGTCTAATCTCATTATTACTTACCCAGTGATTCCAGCAGATGCTGGCAATATTTCTAAGACATCTGTGGTCAAATACTAGCAACTTACGAGTATCTTCTACCCTTAATGGTCACGTTTCGCAGCCGTAAAGTAAAACAGAACTGCTGCACAGTGTACTCGGCGCTTAAGTAATAGACGGATATCTCGCCTTCGTCACAGATGACGCAAGTTGGCAAAAACCAAACAAGCTTTTTGGATCTGCGCACAGATTTTGTCAGACATCAACCCATTAGGGCTGATCAGACTCCCAACATAAGTGAAGTTGTCGACGCGTCCGACTACTCCACTCCTCATCCTTAGTCCAGGTGTTGATGCAGACCAGTCCTGAAGCAATAACTTGCATTTTGAGGGGGAGGAACGCAACCCAAACATCCTGGCATTGACGCTCAATGCTATCAAGACTCTGTATTTTGTCGGCGTCTTCACCAAACAGGACTATATTATCTGCGTATTCTAAGTCGATATGTGAACCTCCTGGAAGATCAATTCCCGAAAATTCGGACGACGAAAACTTAAATCTAGCAGTAAGTTTATGATGAAATTGAACAAAAATGGAGATAGTGGACAGCTTTATCGAACACCACTTTTTGGGTCAACTCTATCCTCTCGTTGTGCCATTGCAATCTGTAAAATGAACCAACTGTTTTGAAGCAAGATTATTAATTTCTCGAGGTTCTTTGTTTAATGGAGCAGTCATCATAATACCTCTTCAAATAAGTATGGAAGTAAATCCAACGCCAAAACTAGTGTGTATATGAAAATTAAGAGCACTTATTGTTTATTCGATTAGTATATACATTACAGGCAAAGTTAAGTCTAAAAGCTGTAAACTATAATTAAGCAAACCCTAATGTTCAATCTCAAAAGTAGGTAAGTTTTCACAGTTGTTTAAATGCCTACCGTCATGTTTACAAATTTACACACATTTGTCATAATAACAGTTATGTTGAAAAGATAGTCTCTTGACAATATTTATAAAGTTCTTATGGATTAGTCATATATCAGAATAAGTATTCATTACTTGAAGTTCATCAAATTCATTACTATACAGGCTAAGTAATTGCACTGAATATGCTTTAACAAACATGAAATAAATAATTATTCCTTAAAATGGTATTACAGAGATGTTTGAGAAAGGAAATGGCTGAAATAACAGATAGTGGTTATTTTTTAGTATGATTTATTCCACTGAGTAGTATTGTGTGGTTGGAAGACAATCTTATAACCTGTTTCTAGCTAGAAAAATGAAAATATTAATAAATTGGTGAGTGCAATGTATGAACACAACGCAAAATACTTTTAAATCAAACTTCTACTAACCCCCTCCAATGACTCTTGACTCAGCCCCCAACCGCTAAGAATTTAACGCTACCACTGACGATGATACAGGTAAAAACATATCCTTGGGAATCCGTCATTCAGAGCTCAAGTTACATAGAGCATGATTCAACGGCTCCCGTACTTGTTATGCAAGATATCATAGGCGAATGCGGGAAATTAGTCTGTAGATCACTCACTCCACAGTACATTCACGGTAGGCATAATCTTTGGGAATCCTACCAGAGCGATTTAAAAATTCAACGGGATGACTATTGAAAAAGCTTCCTTACAGCTGATTTAGGTTGAGTTTTTTTGAGGAATAATAAATTTTCCAACAAGTTATAATGCTGGTTTTACAGTTCGTATGATTTCTACTTATTCTACTTGAACAGCCAAATATGTTTATTAATTCTCACCGAGTGTACGTATATGAAGTTTGCAGGACAATGTGTAATTATCATATTCAGTTTATCAATAATTGAAAGAAGAAGGGTTCAATATCAAGTCCTTGAGAAAATATGAATGACAATTTTATTTGCCCGATTTAGAAACGTATGTATACGGATAACAGGTTGAAAGATAAGTAAAGTAAACAAGTGAATAGTTTCCTAGAAATAAATCCCAATTGCAGACTGAAACTCATCAAATTACCAGTAGCCTTCAAATGCCCTGGTACGGCCGACGGTGGGGAGAGCCAGCTCTCTCTCTCGAAATGCTCTCACACATCCACGCGTATACAACCACTGCCAGGGAAGTCCTACTCACTGCTTTCTCGTGGAGGGGGTGTTGTTTACGAAATTGAGAAGATGAAAAACGAATATCCGGCGCTTTAAATGGGTTGGTGGATATGGAGAATACACCTAGGGGAGTTGAAAAACCCTGATTCCAAACCAATGGTACACATGGGCTCCAGAATCCTGAGGGAACAAATGTCTTATGAACTAATTGTTGACCATCGGTTACCATGGGACTGCGTCTCCTTATGTTGCTCCACTGCCTTGTGGATCAGACCTTTAGGTCAAAGGCTCAGGTTGTGGCCCCGTAAGAAAACTACTTGCTTCGGTTTGGGCACCCGGGTAGTATCCCAGTTCTCGAATGATTTACGTGGCGCATATCTGCTAGGTGCCTCCTTGTACCAATATCTACAAATAAATTACCAATAAAAATCGGGGAGGAATGTCAGTTGTTTCATTATAATTTTAAAATATTGTAAGCCGAAAGGTACATTATCAACCTTCTCTCATGAACTTGGACTGTGAAACAGAGTTTCTTCGCCAATAAAATGTAGTTGGTTGTACCACTTTCCTCTTATCAGTCTGTTTATAGATCCCGCATTCAGTGCACAAAGTTTTATTTTGTTGGTGGAAAAACTTGGTCCCTTTGAGTTGAAAATAATTAACAACTCTCTTCGTTTGATCACCGTTTCCTCCGAAGAACCACTAAGAGGTCCGGTATTATGTGCATAGACACGACGATAGCTATTTAATTCGTTTCACCATCTTGAAACACTGGCCTAAAGTAGCTTGAACATATTTCATGAATGTCATCCGTGTAGTTTTCATACGGTGCACATTATTCGCGATATTGATACTAAATGGTGAAAATAGAAAGATGGTCAGTTCATATCACAGCGCTGTAATATGAAAGGGTAGTTCTATTTGTTGAAGATAAATAAACAAACACACCAATTCGAAAGAAAAGCAATCCAACTCACTTGTATACAATTTTAACTCCACCTTTTAATCCGCTATCCCAAATACCTTTACCACGGCCACCAGCTAACACTTGTGCTTTCAACACCATATCTGTGCTCTCTGTAGTCTCACCTATGGTTGAATATAGATATAAGGGGGGGAAGAGAAAAAAATCAATTATTGAATTATTATTTTGTTATGTTGAGTATTTAAACACATCTAGACAGACTGATCACAGTGTACGTGAATGTCTTCTTGTTCATTTGTAGATTTATCTTTTAAAAAAAGTGTTATTATATTGGGTGTAAAAATATGCACAAACTTATTGAATAAACATCTTAAAATACTCAAGAGCATTATAAGTTAACCATCTATTTATTTATTTATTAATAAAAATGTTTCGTAAACAATTAGGGGCGTTAAGGAAATGCACCAAATGCAACAAATTGATGGCACTATGAAGTACAAAAAACAGAAGAAAATTTTTTTTAATATCAAAATCAATTAACAATATAGCACACAACAACTAAGAGAAGAACTAATCTACTGAGAAGAAAAGAGTTTACAACATTCAATGATACTTACTTATGAATTTGTTAACGCATCTAGTTTATTTCAGAAGTTACAAGTATTATCCAATATCAGAATTTTTGAAATTTTGCATTTGATGAACAGTTGGGATTCCTTAGCATTTAAATATTAATAGCTCAATTTGTTTGGTGACTAACAAGTGAAATTTACCAATGCCATTGTATTAAAAGCCTCCTTAAAACTTGATATTCCAAGGAACATTGTATTTTCTATGTTTCAATGAAATTTCCAATTTAATAAGACTCAATAGCAAGATTGAGATAAATTATGATTATGAGGACTAGATACGCTACCTAATATCCAAATTGAACGAAGCACTTAACAGGTTAGACATCTAACGTTTAAACACTTAAACAATAATTCACAATGAGCTTAACAACATGTTAACATAGATCTAGTCTATTCAATTTCACAAACATTTAGTAAGGCCTCTAATGTCTAATCATATATTTCTCATGATGTAGGTTAGATAGTTCCTTTCATATATATATATATACTTTTTTGCAGACAGTTCTACATCTCCCCAAGACTAACTGTCCTCACATATATACACTTTGAGTTGTATCAATAAACCTACCTACAAGTATAACTAAAATTTACACCGATGATGTTCCTTCTAGCTTTACATTCAAGTGTCAAAACATAATTAATGCGTAATATAATTGTCATACAAAATTACTGGAGCTGTTATTAATTAGACAGTGCTGAAACGCTCAATGCACACACACACAGACACACAGAAATCACCACCTTTTAAGAAAAGTCTTGTTACGTACTGCATAAAAGAAATAATAAGTAAAGGAATTTTACGCCAAAAAGTAGCAAACCGTCAGAGCAGTAACAGAAAACATGTGAATGCCATAACGGATAATATAGCCTTACCTGAATTTTCTAATTCACTTTCAGGTAAAATGCCTGAATAAAAAAGGATACATGAGAAATAGGGGAAAATACTGAACAGGATTTTTGTATTAGACGACAAACAAGCAGATGTGATATGTTTTTAAATTGTAATACATATGAATTAAAGTCGATTTTTCTGCAGAATTCATAATTTATGATGGACATTACAAACTAAATCAAAGCTGTGTGCGAAATCTCATCCATAATGGACCATAACGAAGAAACAAGACTCTATTAATAGCGCTTAAGAAACTGTTTAGTACAATAGGATGCCAAGACATATGTTTCATAAAACCGATTTGTAATATTGTGGGAAAATAAAAGGAATAAGACTATATAATAAAAAGTATTGGAGAATGTCATTCACATTAGCACAAAAACGGGTTAGATTTTATTAACGTAAATGTTACGTAATATTGTTCATAAAAAGGAGAATAAAATCAGGCCCCTACTGGATTATATCCTGAATTATGTCCGATAACTCTTCAAGTCTATAAACTTCGTGATGGAAAGCGAATGTCAGGTGCTTTAACCAGGTCGGTGGGTACGGAGGATTCACGTGTGGGAGTTGGGAAACCCTGATTCTAATTCAATAATGTACATGGGCTCCAGGATCATGAGGGAATAAATGGCGTAGGAATCTGTTGTTGGTCAACGGCTACCATAGAACTGCATCTAACGTTTATCACTGGCTTTGTGGACTAGACCTTTAGGTCAAAGGCTCGGAGAGTGGTCCTTTAAGAAGACCACCGGCTTCAGTTTTGGGCAAGCATGCAGTATCCCACCCCACACACAAACTAAATGGTGAATAAAAAGACTATCCACGATTGAATTTTCATCTCCCTCAAATCATAGTCAAAACTACTTGTTAATACTCGTTTTTATTTTGAATTGCATCACCTGTCTATTCTTTTGCTCCAGCTTTGAACATTCCTTCATTCTTCAATTTCTACAACAGCTCGCCTATCGTGACAACCGTGTCCTATCTAAACGACCTCAAGTTAATGAATGGTCGAAAGTTCAATGCTACCATTGAATACGAATTCTGAACCTGCCTTTCTGAAAACATACCATTCAAACTGACTTTCTTCAACGATCGCACACGTATACGGGTGGGACAACAGATAGAGTTAATTGTCTTTAGAAAGCCTTAACACTGATGTGTGTTATTTATCCGAGACCCGTATTCAAGACTATAGTGAAGCACTACAAGTCCACTCTCCATCTGTCACTTCAAAAAAGCTTGTTTCATGTGTGTTTATCCGGGAACACCTTCGTTTGGTTTCGCTGGCGTTGCTGTCGCACTAAGCGCTAGATCTGAGACAACACTAATCGATTGGATCCCCATCAACATTCGGTTACATGCCGTTAGATTAGAAAGCTCCATCAGAGTGAGAAATCGATTTAAGAAACTGTCTTTTTGTCGTCTCCGTCTACGCTCTGAAAGATTACAGAAAGCATGCGGTCAAGAATGAGTTTTATCACCAGTCAAGTGTTCTCCTACAAAAAGTGCGTTTGAAAGATTAGAGTCTCAATATCGTAGAATGGATCGACAGTTGTCACCGTCTTTAAAAAGGATTCATATCACCTGTGCAACAACTATCGAGAGATAGGTCAACTTCCCATTGCGCCCAAACTATTGGCTTCCGTCATATTTCGTAAATTGCTCAAAACTCAGGAAAGATTGACTCACGAGGAGCAGGCTGGTGTTCGTTTTGCTCGATGACGTATCGATCATATCTTCACTCTCTACTATGTGTTAGAACATCATCATACTTATTATAACCTAACAATAGTAGTGTTTCTTGAAAACAGGTCCGTCTTCGATTCGTCGGACAAAATTGTTTTCTAGGATCGTCTATTGAACGGGGATGTGCCTGATAGGTTTATTGACATCATGAAAGCACTGTATACAAACACCTCAGACAGAATGAGGGCGTACAACCACCTCTCTCCATTGTTTTACTCAGGCAGTGAGGTGAAATTGGGTTGCCCAATCTCACCATCCCTCTTCAACTTTGCCATCGATGACGTTCTGAAAACAGCTCTGATGGATGTAGATAACTGTGGTGTGGACCTTTTACCCGGAAAAATACTTTTTGACCTTGAGTATGCGAGTGACATTATCTTACTGTGCGATGATACTCAACACAAGCAATCCGCATTTAGTCAGTTAGCAATCAGTGTCTACAGGTAATGGCATGTGCTTTTCACCTTCCAAGTGCAGATTAATTCTACAAAACTGGGAGAACTCTAAACCTGCACTCATTCTGTGTAGTGAACAGATAGAAGTAGTCGAGAATTTTGCGTATCTGGGTACCTGTGTAAGTGCTGGTGGTGGCGTGAGTGATGAGATCAATTCACGTATAGTGAAAGACGGAGCGTCTCATTCCAATCTGACCTATCTTTGACACCTTTGTGATACTAGTCTGCATGTAAAAGACCGAACCTATAGCATGTCAATGAGAGCAGTTTCGCCATATGTTAGTGGATTCTAATCTCTCTAAGTGAGAATATCAGATGACTGCGTTTGGTTATCGTCGTCTCTAAAGGATCACTGACATCGAGTGGCAACACCATGTTAGTGATGCAGAGGTTCGGCATCGTGTATTCGGACACAGTGACGACCATTCAATTGGTATCACCATCTTGAAAAAGGGGGTATAAGGAAAATCCGGGACTTAGGTCTTAGGGCAAGACAGAGATAGAATGCACCTACACCACTGACCCATGTCACCCAGTCATTGAAGATTGGTTACGCTAATCTTAAAGAAAGCAACCAGGTAATCTGCACCTGTTAACAGCTTATTTCAACCGTCAATGACGTCATGGACTGGTGCCACGTTTGGAGTCCCTAGATTTCTTCTAGCTTACTCCTATACCAGACCATATCACCTATCGAGGTAAGCAGTAGTTGGGTACATGTAATATATGTCTTATCTAACTCAGTTAATCAAGGTTCATTGCCTCATTATCTGACTTGTCATGGTTGCCTAGTAGCCAACCTGTCACCTCAACAACACTAATTTTTCAGGGAAATTAGTTTTGAAGTTGTTGCCGATGAGGTCCCTGAGTATGGTGATGGTAAATTTGAAATCAGTTATCAACGCTAATTGAATATCAAAAAACTACCTTTATTATCAACAACTATACATTTAATAAGTAATCCGAATGGTATTTTATGGATTTAATTGATAAACCGGCGTAAATTAAACTTGTAATAAACCTCTCGATGGGATGATTGAGTCTTGGTCTAACCAAACAGATGGTCTCATCCGATACCCTACATAAAGGCATAGAATAACTCATTGTACACAAAGAGTGACACATCACCCCTAATTGACAAGGCACGTGATTGTGACTATTTGTCTTTAATTTCTAGTGTTAAAAATAAAAATCTGTGTCCAATAATTTGTCTGCACTAACACAAGTAGAATATCGAATTTACATAGCCCTAACTGTTCAGCTTAACGAGGTAGTATGCGATATTATGTAACCTTGACACCCTATATTCAAAATAGTTTGGCTAACTCAAGTGTTGATTCCAAGGTATAAAAAACCAGCTTTATTTTCGTAAAGTGGTTGGTTTGGACTCATATAAGCTTTAAATTGCTCAGCGATTAAAGTGCTTGAACATGTAGACTTGTAGAAGGTGAGAAAAACGTCACGAAAATTGAAGTAGGGGAGTTATGGTTTACATGTCTTTAAAAATCGCAGTTAACTGACATCTATAATAACACTTTAAAAGATATTTCCAGAACAAATTAAACTTACTGAGTGACATAAAGTGAAGAAACAAAATCTTATGCATTAAATGTACCTACCGAATTCTTTACAAGTAGCTCTGACCTCATCCACATTCCGAACAACTACAAACTTTGGAACAGGTATTTCGTACTTTTTTAACAATTCCATTGCCGAATATTCATGAACTTTCAAAGTGCGAACGCACTTTACCTATTTTTAGATTTGTTAAATTTTATCAAGTAAATCTACATTCTGAAGAAGCTTATTGGGCTCGAAAATTAACTTTCGAAACATTCGCAGGGAGTGGCGCACCGCCAAAATGCCGCGGGTCAGATTTTCATTATCAGCGGTATAGATTGTAACTTAGATGAAGAATGCTAACCTTCAAATGGTTCAAAGATTTCTGGATGGAACAGAAGAAGCCTTAGCTCAACGAGCTACTGTATCTAGAAGCTATGGACCACCAATGCCTCCAGGTAAGAACCTAGGTATATTAACGATAAAAGAGAAAAAAGAACTGGTAAATTGTGGCGAGATGTTTTTTATCATTTAAAATATATCAAGTTTACTCTCAAAGGGCTCCTGGGAAGTCGCTTGAACGATCTCAGCTGGCAATGAATTCCAGAATTCGATCACTCGTAAAGTGCAAATGGCGTGCCTACTATCCGTTATGGTATCGTATCTCTGAGCTTCAGTAGGTATTTAAGGGTATGCTCAGGAATGTCTGAGATGCTACTGAGATGCTATATCGTTTTCAACTTGGGATAGCCTGCAACATTTCTCAGATAGACTACTTTACACTTTAAATGGTCGGAAGTTCATTGTTATCTGCCCAACTTTGAAGTCGAGTCAGGTTCTACCGAAAATTCGATGTTTGTTGCGAAAGGTCATCTATATAAATTAAGAAAAGAGGTCCTAGTATTGAACCCTGAGTGACTCTATTAGGATATTCCGTACCCTGAGAAAAAGTGAAGTTTATTATGATCCTTAAAAGTTGATTATTTAGATAAGATGAGAACCAATCAGTTAACGGTAAACTGACCTTCTCCGAAAAGCTAAGCGCTCGGATGTAGTAATAGTGGCCGGTGACTTTAATGCTCAAGTAGGTAAACTAAGCGATAGGGAAAGACACCTGGGTGGATCTTATAGTATCGTGGCTCAAAGAACAGATAATGGCGACCGTCTGTTGCAGCTATGCTCAGATAACCGCCTGTTCCTTGCAAATACTAACTTTAAGCATAAGGAAAAACATCTTTTAACATGGCGACCCCCTAATTCGTCCCAACGTTGGACCCAAATAGATCACATCGCTATCAGCCACCGATGGAGGGGCTCGATAGAAGACTGTCGCTCATTCTGGAGCACATGCCTAGATTCAGAGCATGCTCTAGTACGAGCGCGTATTTGCTTGCGTCTTACTGGACGTAGGAAAGACGCTGCAAGGAAACCTCTTAGGGTCCTACTTAATGATAGTCAAGCTAAGAGTTTATTTCAGGAACAACTAGGAAAACAGTTAGGCAGCCATGTATGTGATGCCCACCCCGAGGCAGCATGGAATGATATCCGAAAAGCTGTGGAAACAGCAGTGATATCTGTTAGTAAGGTAAACCAGAAGGTTAGGGAGCAACACTAGATCTCAGCAGCATCTATCGCACTGATAGATGCTCGGAAACTCATTCCACCTGGCTCTGAACATAGTGAAGAGCGGAGTCAGCTTAAGCGCAAACTGACAAGAAGTCTACGCAATGATCGCGAACAGTAGTGGGTAGCGAAAGCAAGAGAGATGGAAAAGGCAACGGCAATAGGTAATAGCAGACAATTGTTTAGACTCGTTAAGGAAACCGGAATTAGGAACCCGACTGTTAGCGAAACAATCTCAGAGAAAGATGGACATATTATTCATTCTCAGTCCAGGAGATTGGATCGATGGGCAGAACACTTTAGGGATCAGTTCAACTGGCCTTCAGCCACACTTCGGTTTCCCACGATCTCCAGTCAACCTGAATGGCAAGTTAATGTAGGTCCTCCGTCTCTTTATGAAGTTGAAAAAGCCATAGGAAATCTGAAACGAGGGAGAGCAGCAGGCCCTGATAGGTTTACTCCTGAGATTTTTAAGGATGGTGGTCCAGTATTAGCAATGAGATTAACCGAGGTCTTAGGTAGAATTTGGGAACTGGACGTAATCCCATCTGACTGGTCTCAATCACTGATTGTGCCAGTCTATAAGAAAGGACAAAAGTCCTCTTGTGACAATCACAGAGGAATCAGTTTGACTAATATAGTGTCTAAAATATTAGCTTCAATAATACTTCGACGCCTAATCAAAGCTCGTGAAGAGAAAACTAGAGAAATCCAGGCAGGTTTTCAACCTGGACGTGGTTGTATAGATCAGATATTCACACTACGTCAGGTTCTAGAACACAGACACACATTCAGATACCCCACAATGGTAGTATTTCTCGACCTTAAGGCGGCATTCGATTCTGTTGATCGTAAGGTTCTATGGCAGTGTTTGTCTTTGAAAGGAGTACCAAAGAAGTACATTAACCTTATTCAGGCTCTCTACTCGAACACAACTGGTAGAGTGAGAGCTTATGGCGAACTGTCATCAGAATTGATTACCTCAAGTGGTGTTCGTCAGAGCTGTCCACTCTCCCCATTCTTGTTCAACTTTGTGGTCGACGTACTTTTAGAGATAACACTTTCCTCATCTAAATTTCCGGGGGTTGAAATTCTACCGGGAGGTTCACTTGTTGACTTAGAATATGCAGATGACATAGTTTTATTTGGTGAAGACGCTGACAAAATGCAGAGTCTTCTGACCACTCTAAGCAACAATGCAAGCATGTTCGGGATGCGATTCTCCCCCTCGAAATGCAAAATGTTGCTTCAGGATTGGGTTACATCGACACCCGAACTAGTGATAGGGAGTGAAGTAATTGAGTGTGTCGACCGCTTCACTTATCTTGGGAGTCTCACCAGCCCTTGTGGTCTGGTGTGTGACGAAATCTCAGCACGGATACAGAAGGCTCGACTAGCTTTTGCCAACTTGCGTCATTTATGGCGTAGGCGAGATATCCGTCTACCAACCAAAGGACGTGTTTACTGCGCAGCAGTTCGTTCCGTCCTACTTTATGGCTGTGAAACATGGCCGGTAAGAGTAGAGGATATTCGTAGGTTACTAGTATTTGATCATAGGTGTCTTCGAAATATTGCTCGTATATCCTGGTACCATCGAGTAAGTGATGTAGTTGTTTGGAGGCAGGTGCTAGGTAAGGATGGCAAATCGATCGATGAAGTGATGAGCCTTCATCAGTTAAGATGGCTGGGACACGTGTTACGTATGCCCAACGACCGACTGCCTCGACGTGCGATGTTCAGTGGCATAGGAGTAGGTTGGAAGAAAGCTAGGGGTAGCCAGACCAAAACATGGCACAGATCCATGAAGTCACTGACAAGTGGACTGAGTCATGTTGGTAGGTGTATACTACCTGGTTGGGGACCGCGAGATGATAGCAATCGATGGTTAGAGACCCTGAATGACATGGCTCAAAATCGTTTGCAATGGCGCAGGTGCATCCACTCTCTATGTTCTCCCAAATTCTAATTATCTGAATTCTTCATGCCCCTTTTTTTCCTCTTTCCAAATTTATTTCACTGGATTATACTCGTTAGATAACATCTTCAACCCCTAGTCTTTACGATTACTGCTTATACTCTTACTACCTCTACCACTACGGGATTTGAATCGACCACTGCATCTCTGTGCTAATGTGGTATGGCAACTCGAACTGATGTACGTACGTACGAAGTTCTACGTTGTTACTGACTGACTGACTGACATCTAACAGATTGAGCTTACTGATAAGACATATCACTGACCCTATTAAAAGGTTTTGAGAAGTCAAGGAATTTCGGCATCAACCATCTACTTGAGATTAAGCATAGCTGTACTTAGGGATTTTAGTATAGGTCGGTATAGGTACACTTATCTTTGCCGCTAGAATAACAGACTTAATCCCAAAACTGTAGAATTGTCATGATGTGACTACCTGATCTGTAAAATTTTACGTAGTGGTCACATCGCTGTCCAGACTGACTCATCCTGTTGTGACACCCAGAGTTGTGTTGTTGGGAGCTTCTGAAAAACACATTTACTCCGGGTACAGAACAGTACACTTAATGTGGAGAGAAATTAGTCACACAGAATTATCACGCCTGCAAATCCAAACCTTACCATAGCGATCTATTCTTCCTGAGTTCACCGTTTCTGACCTCCCCTCCCTGTTAAATGTTGAATGTGAATTTCCTCGTTTATTTTATGTTTGGCTTCAAAGATCGTGTGATTGCAAACCAACAACACTACACTCCATCTGTCAACCGCGATCAGTAGGTTGGTTATACAAACGTGACTCTTCCTAGGACAGAGATGTTTGGATGAGACTTTTATGGCCAGAAAGTAGTTACATAGACCGTCGAATATAAGGAACTCCATATTTTTGGACGGTATTGAGAGAAGTGCCACCAGCCGGTAGTTTGAAGGCTCACTGTTTTGACCTGTATAGCCGGTTCAGAAAAATTGTTCTTCTTTAGATGTTGAAGTTTCTGATACGCCAAGTCAGCGCCCAGATTCACTTCTGAGAGTTCCATTAAGTTCAATAAATCCTAAACAGTTTAACGATCTTCATTAAAGTCAAGGACAATCAACATGTATGTGATATTTTTACCAAATTATGAATGCTTTGTATTTGGCTGCAAGCTTACTACGAATTCCAAATATATTGCGCTCAGTTGTGCTCATCTAGTTCTACCTTCCTTATATTCCACTATTTCGGAAATTCTTAGTCAGAACATTGGTTCGAATACTTCCAATGGTCATAACATATCAATCGATTTCACACCATAAACAAATGCATGAGACAGGGGGTGAACTCCGTTTTTTGCCAGGTCTTAGATACCACGAATGATGAACCCATGCGGTGTAGTAACCGCGGGGTGTGAATTTGATTTTTGCTGGGAAGTCACACCATTCCTGTTCAACTAGAATGGGCCTCCTAATCATCCACGTAGGTGGCCTACATTGGCGCTCTACAAATTAAAAACACAAAGGAACAACACATCTTCAGAATTGTTCGTCCATAATCGGTACCCAGGTCTTATTTATGTGGTATATTAATAAATGGGAACGGCAGAAATAAGATGTTGGTTTAGCAACTGCACCTTTTCACTACAAATTGAATCTATGTTAACCATATCTGGAAATTCATTGTGCATTTTTATTTGCTTGACCTTAAAGTAGCAAATTCGAGCTACTTTGCTCGTACATGTAGTGTTATTGGTCCTAACCCAAATCCTCGAAGCTGAACATGAGATA